ATTTTGTCATCTGACTTATTCTCTATAAAATAAAAAAAAAGAAGTTTTTTTTATTACGCCATAGGAAAGTGAAGAAAACAAAAACACGGTTTTGCAGGAAGAAGATAATGAAATGGAGGGGAGAGAGCAGGAAAACCCGGTATTTATTATATGTACATTATTATTTTTTAATTAGTATTATTATTATTATTCATCTTTTCCTTTTAAGTATTTAAAATATGCTCTCTTTTTTTAAATGAAGAACGAAGAAAGACGCGTTGGGTTCTTTATGGTTTCACCGAAAAAGAAAGTAAGTATGAACATAAATTCTGTGTTTTTAATATAAACAACATGCATAGAACATCTGTAATAATATTTATTGATTTATTTAATTTTTTTAAGGGAAAAGGATTTCCCACAAAAGGGAAGGGAAAAGGGAAAAAACGCAGTCAAAGTAAGGTACATACGATCTGAAAAGTAAGTGTTACATTTTTTCCCCACAAAATTTACCTTAAGAAAAATTTTAATGCGTTTTTATTTCCTTTCTTTCTTATGCAGACACAGAAACCTCAGACTCAGAAAGTACCCCCTCTCAATTACATTATAATAGATTAGGTGAACAGAGTTCAATAGACATAGATAAACCATCAACCTCTTCATCAGACAATGACGCACCCGGGTCGTCATCATATCCCCCCTCAAACGAACCCGGTCCAAGTGCTTCCGCAGAGTCAACTGACGACCCTGCATTACAGGTTTTATTAGAAAAATACAGTCGTCTTATTCATAGACCTCACCAAGAGGGTGTCATTCAGAAAGAGTACAACTTTCCCGCTGATAATTTTAATCTATCTTACAGGGACATCGAGGAACAACTTACTGAAATTTATCATAGCGAAAATCATACTTTCAAAATTAACTTCTCTTTTGGCATTGTTTTGCGAAATGCAGAGGGAGAATTAAGATATTTCTATGCTTCCGGAAACGACTCCGTTTTAAGCGAACCATACCAGGTATCTACTAAAAAAGACTTAGAAAACTTAATCTTAATGCTCCGAAACCAAGATCTCCTGCAGTCTGCTCTACAGTCGCGACCAAACTCCAAGTGGTCCGTGTACGTCGTCACCAACATTAGGTGGGTGGTGGTCCGCACTAACTATGTATTAGGGGCAGCGCGTAAAATACCAGAATATATTAAAAAGAAAAAATGCATAATAACTCTGAATACAAACAGTAGTGAGGGTGGATTACTCGAAGATAATTTATGTGCCTTCCGTTGTTTAGCTTACCACCGAAAGCAGTCTAGAAAAGGCTTAGAAAGACTCACCTTAAACTACTATAGGGAATATTTTGGCCACCGAGTACCCAAGCGCACAAAATTTAGTGGTCTTACTCTCAGGGACATTCCTTATTTCGAAAGTACTTTTGATATAAATGTTAACATTTTTCAGTTCTTCGAAGACGAATCCTGTGTTCATATCTACCGTTCACGAGGAACGTATCAGGACACCATGAACTTAAATCTATACGAGGATCATCTCAGTTATATAAAGAATCTGGCTGTCTATTGTAAGAAATATGAATGTCGGAATTGTAAAACACTCTTCCCGACTCATGATAGGGTTGTTAGACACGAAAAGCGTTGTAAGGAGGCTACAAAATTAATCTTTCCTGGGGGGTATTACGCGCGACCACGTCATATCTTTCAAGAACTAGAATACTTGGACATACGGGTTGACGACGATCTGCGCCTTTACCCATTTTTTATCACTTACGATTTCGAAGCGATGTTACAAACAGACAATGTACCCCCTGCAACTCAAAAATCGATCTGGTCTCACGAGCACCGACCGGTATCATTTTCCATGTGCTCAAACGTTCCTGGTCATGTCGATCCGGTGTGCGAAATCGATTCCGACGTTAGTAGTTTAATTAAAAAGTTTGTAGAAAGAGCGAGCGAAATTCAAACGACAGCTCAGAAATATATGAAAACTCGTTTTGCGAATGTTTTAAAAAAACTTTCACTTGAATCTAAAAAATTACAAGAACTCGCCGAAGAAAACTTAACTCGCGACGAGGATGAGGACGAAGATGACGATGACAATGACGACAGACAAATGATAAACACCCCTCTCATGAACCATATTAAGCGAATTCAAGAGAAACTCAACATGTACATTAGCGAAATCCCTGTGTTAGGATACAATAGTTCAAAATATGATTTAAATTTAATTAAGTCAAAACTGGCCGAATGTCTGCAACTTGCTCAGACAAAGAAAAACTTTGTCGTGAAAAAATGTAACCAATACATGTGCATTAGTAACGGACAGTTCAAATTCTTAGATATAAGCAATTTTGTGGCACCTGGATTTTCATATGACAAGTTTATTAAATCTTACGAAATCGATTTACACAAGTCATTTTTTCCATACGAGTTTCTGACATCATTTGAGAAACTTGAGCATGCGCAGCTACCGCCCTACGAAGCTTTTTACTCTTCGCTTAAAAATTGTAATGTTCTCGACGAAGAACACGCTCGTTATGTTCGATTAGTGAACGAGGAAAAATACCCAGTGTCCACTGCGCTTAAAAAGATGAACATAAAACGACCCCCACCGACCGGACAAGAAAACTACGAACAACTTTGCAGAATCTGGGAAGAACGAGGCATGCGCACGATGAGAGATTACTTAGTTTACTACAATAATTTAGACGTACTTCCCTTTTGTCAAGCTGTCTCGAAAATGCTTCAGTTTTACTCGGTGCGCGATATAGATCTATTTAAAACGTGTATAAGTATACCCGGCGTAGCGCGAGAACTTGTTTTCCGATCTGCCGCAGGTAAAGCTCAATTTGCTTGTTTTGATAAACAAAATAAAGACCTACACACAACGTTTAGAAAAGGTATGTGCGGAGGCCCGGCTAATATATTTCATCGCTATCATGAACGAAATGCGACGTTCATTCGAAAAAAATAACGATAAAACTTGTAAGAAAATTATAGGGTACGATGCCAATGCGCTGTATCTATGGGCACTTAGTCAAGATATGCCGACCGGACCCTTTACGATTAGAAAAGAGGAAAGCGAGTTCCAGCTTACAAAGCGCGATCGATATTTAAAAGCATTATATTTTCTAGAATGGTTGAGATACAGTCGAGGGTTAAATATAGATCACTACTTTAATGCCGGAAAAGAGTTTCGTATCGGACCATATCGCGTTGACGGTTTTTGTAAGGCAGAGAAAAAAGTCTACGAATTCAATGGATGCTACTTTCATGGACACGACTGCAACCTGACCGCGCACATCAAAGACCCGAAATGGTTAAACAGTCAAAAGAAAATTCGTAAACGCGAGCAAGAGCGTATGGAATACATTAAAAGTCAGGGGTATGAAATAGAAGTCACGTGGGAATGTCAATATGAAGAATGGTTAAACGTATCTCCAGAATTTCGTTCCTTTATCGAGAGACAGCGTAAACAGAGACCTTTAGAACATCGAGCCAAACTAACGAGAGATGAAATTCTGTTAGCCGTGCGCGAGAAAAAGATATTTGGTGCCGTGGAAGTGGACATACATGTTCCCAACCACCTCCTTAACAAGTTTTCCGAAATGTCACCAATATTTTGTAATTCAGAAATTCCCTTTGACACACTAGGTCCCTTTTCACAGGAGACTGCACGAAAATTAGATTTGGGGGAAAAACCGCGACGATTGTTAGTCGGCGGCATGCGTGCGCGGAAAATTCTACTAGCCACCCCTCTTTTAAAGTGGTATTTAAATCATGGTCTAGTTGTTTCGCGGATCTACCAAGTCATTGAATTCACCCCGAATGCTTGTTTTTCCGATTTTACGCGAGAAGTCAGTGACGCTCGTCGTCGTGGTGATAGTGATCCGCGTTTTGAGATATTCGCCGACACTAAGAAACTCGAAGGTAACAGTGCCTACGGTTCAATGATTATGAATAAAGAGAAACATACAGATATAACGTATTGTGTAACAAAAGAAAAAGCTGGGTATTTTGCGTCTAAAAAGCGCTTTCGCTCACTAACCGAACTTGACAGCGATCATTTTGAGATCGAGCTCGCAAAATCTCGTATAACACTGGATCTACCGATTCAAATCGGGTATTTTGTGCTTCAGTATGCTAAGCTGCGTATGCTAGAGTTTTATTACGATTGTGTAGATAAATTTTGTTCTCGTCAAGATTTCGAACTGATGTCTATGGACACTGATTCTTTGTATATGGCCATATCAAATGAAAACTTTGTGGATATCATAAAGCCCGAAATGCGAAACTGTTTTGAACGCGAGAAAAATGATTGGTTTCCTCGCACGCACCCTCCCGACGCGGCAGCCTTTGATCGTCGTCAACCCGGTCTATTTAAAGAAGAATTTGTCGGTACGGCCATGGTAGCCCTCTGCAGCAAAACATACTGCGTGGAAAACACCTTACAATTAAAGAAAAGTAAATTCAGTTGTAAAGGATTAAATAAAAACAATTTCAGTCATCCCCTGCCTCTGTATAAACGCGTATTGTTTGATAACTCATCTGCTGGCGAAACCAATCGCGGCTTTCGAGCTCGAAATAATACTGTCTTTACCTACACTCAACAGCGACAAGGTCTAACTTCTTTTTATCCAAAGCGTAAAGTCTTGTCTGATGGAGTGTCGACGACTTATCTTGATATTGAACTCTGTCCTTAGGATTAGTTTTTTTTTCTCTCCCTTTTTTGGTATCGTCCGGTAGATGTTTAGCACCCCTTTTTGTTTTAAGTCTTAGAATAGCCCTCTGGGTCAGTCTACTATTAGAGAATTACGCATGTAAAGAATACTGTTTTTTGAGGACATGTTTTGAATATCACATTTAGAATTATTAATTTTTTCAAAATTAATACGAAATTAATATGTTTTTAATTTTTTACGAGTAAAATGCAGAAATTATTAAGCTATACTTGTCCGTTAAATCCTGTCCACCCCTTTGTTTACCCGGTGACCCAATAAACATTCCCGCCACTCTAATGGATGAAAAGATGAAGTTGCTAGTAATTCTGTGCTTTGCGTATGCGGTAAGGGGGGACTTTTCCCGTTCCTGTTCATCAAAGGGGAAAGTGCTGATTTGTAAGAAGGTGAAGGAGGACCTCACATGCGAGAATGCAGGGCGGAAACTGCTCAATGCAGAACGTCTGATCATGATCAATCCCCACAGCCAGAGAGTGACCATAACACCACAGTGTCTCCCCAATCTGCGCACGATCGAGGTTGACAGATCTGGCACCATGAACTGCTCTGATTTTGCTGGTTTCCCAATTGTGATTATCAACAGGAGCTACTGCACTTATTCGGTATGATGTTTTATTTATTTATCTGCGTGCGGGAAAAAAAAACATTTTTTTTAAATGCACATGTGTATGAGAATTAATGATGAATGATTTATAAGTGAAAGTGATATTTAAAAAAAAAAAAAATGCATGAACAAATTTTAACAAAAAAAAGTAAATTTTATTATTATTTCAATTTTTTATAGACAACATCTACGCCTCGTCCCGTCTCCGGCAAACCCCCAGGAGAGAAAACCAGAACGACGGAGACAACGACAGAGACCGTCAATCGGACACTAGCAACCCCTGATTTGGTAACTAATCAGACTTCAACGGAGAACACGACCCTCTACAGCACCATCAAACCTTACCCCATGGATGGCGATGATAAAAGAGAAAAAGGTATATTTTATATAATGTAATTTAATTTGAGAAGGACTTTTAAAAAAATCACTAAAGATAATTATTTACTAAGTTTTAATCATTTCTCCTTTTTTTCTTTTATAGTCTCTTCCTTGGTGGCAGCTGTCGTGACTCTGAGCATCCTGTCACTGTTATTGCTCGCTGTCGTCTTTCTTCTGTTGACAAAGAAACGTTTTTGCCGCAGACGACTCGCAAAGATACCACCAGCAGAAGACCTTGGAAGCTCCGAGACAATTTTTCTTCGGGACACCAGCAGAAACCCTTTTTCTGATTCGATGAAACAGGAATGAACTTGTGATTTCCCCCCCTTCCAAAGTGCGAACTGTTGTGAAAACCTTTGTTTTTAACTTAATTTATTTTCTTTTAACGATTATAGTATAGGTTTGTTTTTCAGCGAGTTGTTCAATCTTTTATAATTGCAGATTTGTTTTTAATTTGTTATGATTTTTTTTTTACAAGTAATATATATAAATTTTACATGTATTCAGTGAATTACTTGTCCTTAAAAAAAAAAAAGCAATAGCATTTTTTTTTTTGGTTATGATTTTTTTTTTTACAAGTAATATATAAATTTTACATGTATTCAGTGAATTACTTGCCCTTAAAAAAAAAAAAAAGCAATAGCATTTTTTTAATTCAACTTTTTTCCGCTTAATGAACTGTTAAATTTTTAACACATTTTTTTTTAAAATGAACTCTGAAGTCTTACCTGATCGGAACCATTTAAGTAATCGATTCCTTATGATTATAGAAGACTAGTTTGATTTTTTTTCCCTTTGTATGTTAATAAATCAAAAAGAAAAAAAAAAAACTTTTGTGGTTGATTTTTTGACAGATAAATTTATTGTATTAATAATACAATCAGAAGGACATCCATTTTGTGGAATGTTTTACTCCCGGTGGCGCTTCTTTTTTTCCAACAACGGCCAATCTTTTCAGTGGGAGTTTAGGGGATTTCATCTCTTTGTTACTCACAGCGGGATGATTCTTCAGTCGCTGGTATTCTTCTTTAGGAATTAATACAAATTCAGTAGACATATTTAGCAAGTTCCGGGAGTAAAGGTTTCAGTAACACTGGGAGAAATCCGTGGCGTCTTAGTAACAGAGATTTTTTATTTTTCCCTTTCTTCTTAGCTAAACGACGCAGAATGTGACGATACTTGTAGAGGTTCTTAATAAAAGAATCTGAGGGGACAATTTCTCGATTATGAATCACGTTGTAAATCACTTCCAAAAGAGTCTTTAACTGTTTAAGACTGATAGTTTCCAATAACACTCGGCGCTGTCTGGGACTGGCTGTAGCTAACAAATTCAAAAAAGCCCAGTTCCGACGAAGACGGTCATTCATGTCTTTGTTCTCATGTAAACTGTTAATAGGTCACCAGGAAATATCCCTGTTCGCAGCGCATAATCTCTTTGTCCACTTACGGTCAGATCCACCAATAAATAAGAGTATGGTTTTTGCGTCGCTTTTTCATACGCATCGAGAAAGTATGGCGTTCTGTTAGGGTAAAGCTGAGTCGCAAGGTATTTCACTTGAAAGTTATCTCTCGGATTTTTGAAAAGTACGAGATATTGACAATTTAAAGAAATGACTCGACTGTACTTGCCCTGTGGAAACAGATTTTGCGAAATAAATATGACCGATATATTCATATGATGTACATGAATGGTAAAGAGTTCCATATAATCAAAGGACTGGATGACCCTGTATACTAGATCGTCTAGAATGAGTAATAATTCACCGCTCCCCGCCCATTCCGCCATATCCTCTTTGGAAGGGAGTCCCTCATAAAAAATGATAGCTGGGTTGTAGTTTCGTATTTCTTGAAACGTAGGCTGCCATTGAGAATATGCGTACACAATCTTTTTAATTGGTTTTGAGAGAATCCCTTTGTCAATATTTTTTTAAGATTCGTTGTGTAAATCGCGTTTTACCACTCTGACTGGGACCACTCACGAATAATGAGAAAGGTACCTTAAAAGCAAAATCGCTGGGATCCATGTAAACACCTGTTCTTTATTAGTTTTTTTTTTTTTTTTTTTTTTTTTTTTGTATAAATTTAGTTTATATAGGGTGGAAAATGAATCACGACTCAATGTGTGGTATCAGAGAGAATGTGAATGTCAATTGGAAAGGAAAACGTAAAATAAAGTGCCAAATCAATGCGACTCATTTAGTGACCGTATCTAAAAGAAAACATCGGTACTATGTTAAAATCAAAAAGGGGAAGCGAGATCTCTCTTTATCCCCCGAAATGTGGAGCGTACTGTGCGATCTAAAGGAAACAGTGTTGTTGTGTTGTCATTTTTTTGGAAACCAGCTAAGAAAAAAAAAATGCCTCTATCCGAAGAACTCCAAGAATATTTAAGTTCACTTTATTTCGATCCCGAGAAACCGGGTGCGTTTAGGGGTCCTCTCCAGTTATGGCGCCAGGTGAAAAAAGAGAACAAATACAAAGTGGGTCTGATCAAAATAAGGCAATGGTTACAAAATCAGGATGTTTATTCGATGAACAAAGCTGTGCGTCGACGCTTTAAGAAAGCGCGAGTCTTCGCGGGTGGAATAAAAGATCAATATGACGCCGATTTAATGGATGTCGGATTTCACGCAAAAGAAAACGAAGATATTAAATATTTATTGGTGGTCATTGATGTGTTTACTCGATACACCTGGGTAGCTCCACTGAAAAATAAATCGAGTGCTAGTGTATTGAACGCTCTCAAGCGTTGCTTTAGAGAGATGGGCTTACCGCGCAAAGTCAGAACGGACTCGGGTAAGGAGTTCATGGCTCGACAAGACCTCCGTCGGAGTTAAGCATTTCACGACTCAAGGCGAATCTAAAAGTAATTATGTAGAACGTGTGATCAGAACTTTGCGAAGTTTAATGCACAGATACATGAAAAAGAAGCGTTCGTTTAAATACGCTAAACAACTACAGCTGCTAGTGTCCAACTACAATTGCACATCTCATCGATCACTGGGTTTTAAAGCGCCCAATGACATTAATGAAGCAAATGAAGTCGACCAAATTATTTTGCAATATTTTAACTTTCCCCTTCGGCGTCAGAATAAAAAGTCAAGTAAGCAGAATAAAAAGAAAAAATCTTCTTTTCGATTTAAGGTTGGTGATACTGTCCGCATATCACACTTAAAACATGCCTTTGAACGTGAGTTCATGGAGAAATTTACAGGCGAGGTGTTTAAAATACATTCCAGGTTCCTGAAACAAAACATTCCTATGTATAAACTGCGAGATTTAAATGATGAAGACCTGACGGGTAGCTTTTATGAACCTGAACTTCAGAAAGTACAGAAACCCGAGAATGCTCTGTGGGAGGTGGAGAAGGTATTGCGTAAAAAACGACGAAATAAAAAGACGTATGTACTAGTTAAGTGGTTAAATTTTCCTCGGAGTTTTAATAGCTGGGTGCCCGAAAGCGACCTCAAGGAATTAAATTAGAATGGATTTTTACATGGTCATTTCGGATAAAGACTCCCTGAACTATTTTCCCAATAACGCTGCTCATGATTTCCGGGTTCACACACCAAACACGTCTCTACGAGGTCGATGGTATGTGGGGCTCTGCGAGTTAAGTCTCGACATGGAAAGGGAGTGTGAAATGCGAATATACAGTAATATTTGTACAGATACCCTCGTTGGAGGAGAGAAAAGACCTTTGTTAAAAAGATTGTTTCTGCAGAGTGAGAGGAATGACGTCGCCTTTTCGCGTATCATGTATATGCCTGTTGTCATTAAAGACTTTCATTCTATAAGAGTGTACATAGAGAGCTCAGTGCCACCGAAACCAAACGTGATTTTAGTGCTTCATTTTAAAAAATACCCCTTTATTTAGGCATGCGCTCTTCAAAAATATATGTGGCAGACACGAAAAAGTGGTCTGACTTTTTTATGCGTTCCGCCACTACACCGATTTTACATAACTCATTACGACAGAGTGGAGGAAACTTGGGAAATGGTAGCATTAAGACCACTACAATAGTACCCATTGATTCTGGTCACATTTCGCGAGGTGGGGAAAAACAACATTCGTCACCGGAAATTACCATTGTCTCGCCCACGCAACGCGATTTACAACAAGCCAAGTCGGAATTACCTCGCGTAAAGGCCAAGAAGAGGAGAAAAACGAGTAAAAAGCTAAAACATTCTGATAATTTCGACTACTGAAATGGAACCTGAAGAAGACGTCTCATCACAGCTGATGGCTAAAAAACGACAATTCGAGAAACCTCTGAGGGTTGTAAAGGCTACCGGAGTGTTGTTATTGCTGATGCCATTTTTCATTGTGTTCGGGATGACGATAGACATTTGGAATAACACACACGTCTCTCCCCTGGTTGTTAACGACACTAGAACTTTTAACGCGACTCTCTGTGACTACTTAAAATCGTTTCCCCTATCTGACGCGGTGCATGTTAGCGTCTGCGTTTATCAGGGTTCGATCTTAATCGATTTTAGACGTTTTATGAACAATAGAGCAACGATCAAAGGTATACAATTAAACCCAGTGCAGTGGGAGTACCTTAAAAGAATTTGGCCTTACATCGATCAGAGTCTTGTACTTGCATCGAGACGTGATTTCTCTGCGAATAAAAAGAAACCCGCAAAACAGACTTCTCATACTTAGAACCAACATGACGAGCTTAGCTTACGCAGACTTCCAAGAGGGGTTGCCCAGGGAATTATTGCTGTTTAATTTGCCCCTGACACAAACAGCCGTGACTCGTAACTTTTACGTGGATTGTAGACCCGTGTCTCAGATAAGCGAAAACGGTCCCGTAGAATTTACTGTACCGGGAACTGGGGATTACCTAGACTTGAAAAAAAGTTTGTTGTTTATAAAAGCTCGTATCTTCAAGGCGGATGGTACCACTATCGGGGTGGATGAGAAAGTGGGTCCTGTGAATAATTTTTTGCACAGTCTCTTTAATCAGGTGGACATATCCTTAAACGGAAAACAGTTCCCGAGTAGCGGGGGCGCAACCTATGCTTATAAAGCTTACCTGCAGAATTTGTTGAATTACGGTGAGGAGGCTAAGCAATCCCAACTCCAGTGCAGCTTATTTTTTAAGGATGATGCGGGCTTCATGGATGTCACGGACCCCAACGGCGCTAATTCGGGGTTATATTCGCGAACCGCATTTTGTAAAGAAAGCTTATCTTTTGATTTAGAAGGGCCTATCTTAGAAGATGTGTGTCGACTTGATCGTTTTGTGCTGAATGGAGTGGACGTTAACATTAAACTCTATCGACAAAACCCATCCTTCTGTCTCATGTCCGCTGAGACTGACCCACACTACAAGGTCGTATTTGATGACGTCATTTTCCGGGCTTGCAGAGTGCAGGTGTCACCAGGTATCATCGTAGGGCACACAAAGACTTTAGAAATGACAACAGCCAAATATCCCCTAATTAACACAGACCTTAAAGTAGCCTCTATCGCCACCGGACAGACCCGGTTCATCTGGGATAACATTTATTTGACCCGCTGTCCCAGTAAAATCGTTCTCGGACTGGTTTCCACGGAGGCTCAGACAGGGAGTTATCTAAAAAACCCTTTTAATTTTCAAACATTTGGCGCTCGTCATGTCGGCGTATTTGTCAATAATGTGAGTGTCCCCGGGCAGCCTTACAAAATAGAAGAAAACTGTTACATCTCCGCTTACCGCAGTTTATTCGATATTGTTGACAAATCTCAAATCGATTCCGGGAACAACATTGACCGAGATGATTGGAAATATGGATACTGCCTTTACGGCTTTTCGTTACAACCCCAGTTTGGAAACACCGACACCCTCTCTTTGATGAATCAAGCAAGTGTTCGATTAGAACTGGCCTTCGATCAGGCACTTACAGAGACCGTTTCCTGCATTCTTTATGCAGAATTCCCCTCGTATTTTGAAATAGACAATACTAGAAATATAATTCTTAACTCTATATCATGAACGGACACCTCATTTTTGACCTTTGTCGTTTAGATTTTATTCTAGCTTCTCAGTTTGAAGGGGTATTTTCTCCGAATAATTTACCTTTAAATGTTGAACAATATCCCAGTGCTTATATTGTTAACACTACATTTTCTACTACACCCGGAGAACATTGGATAGCGCTTTATTTTAGTTCGCCCCAACACTGTTACGTATTTGATAGTTACGGTAGGGACCTGAGAAGTTTACCATCTCAGATACATTCCTTCGCTGCTCACAATTCTTTGTTCTGTACATATAATACCCTCCAGATACAAGACGTAGCTAGTCAAGCGTGTGGACTGTATTGTATATTATTCTTGCTGGTAATGAGTAGAATCTGTAATCTCTCTGTATTTCAACGACTCTTTTGTAATGACTTGCAACAAAATGATTTTTTTGTGTACAGCATTGTTTATACATTATACAATCTTTGAGATATATATATCTTTCCCTCCTTTATGTAGCATAGTACAATAAATTCATAACACCTTGAGTCTGCGTGAGAGATTTTATTTCATATAAATTGTAAGAAAATATATATGTGCATTACAATAATTCTGATAGTCTCTGAACTTACTCAAGAAAGTAAACGACACTATAAAGTAAAAAATGTAGAACCAGAATTGCCCCCTCCCCCAAAAGTCTCTTTTTCAACAAAAAAGTTATTCTGACAATTTAGAAAGTTCAGTCTGAAAACACTTATCCTCTTTAGCGTCCCGGAGGTATTTCTCCCCGTCCGAGTCGTCACCGTTAATTGCGTTAAATTCCCGCAATATAATGTCTGACGGAATATTTTTCAGGCAGTCCTGGAGGTATATATCCCTCTTTTCCTCCCACGAAGATAAGCAGCCCATTTCCATGTGCTGTTTCTGACTGGGATGATTTGTCAGGCATCCGTGGCAACGTTCCTTGGATTTACATGTAATCATCTTCCGCAGAATTTTCACGATGATGGATTTCATGCACTGATCCATCTGCTCGATGTCCTGATATGTTTCTTGGAATTTTTCCCATTCATTTTCGTTCAGTGCAATGCCAAATTTGGTAGGAAGGGCAGGGTCCACATGGAAATTGAAGACTCTAAAATCTACTATGATTACGTTGCTCTCGGGGAATCTCTTCGCTGTTACTCGCTTGTTTCCCTCCTCGTTTCTCTGTAAGTCCCAGGTTTTAGGCGGTGTTGAGGAGTTCTCTCTCAGTTTCTTCACATGAACGTGAATTTCACTGATAATGTTTATTAGCAGCAACCACTCGGCGTCGGAGAAGGATATTTTCTTTTCCGGATGGTCCACATTGTTCAGTCTTATTCTCTTCTCTTTCTGGTAGATGCCAGTGGTTAAGGTGATTCGCTCGCTCAGGAACATGTTAAGAGTAGTCTAATTACTCGAAATGAATAGAGTTAAGGTTTTAAATATTATCCAGTCTGTGATGTCATCAGTCAAAATGATGTCATCTATATCCAATCACTGTCCAGCTTAATTCCCGGTGGTGACGTCGACGCATTTTTCTCACAGCAATGTCCATTCTTCTAAAGAAATGTCTGGGCGTGAAAAATCGTTCCTCATCGAAATATTCTGAGAATATTTCTCGGAAACAGTCAATAATATTACATCCCATATGACATGTAGACATCTCGTGCCATGGCACATCCAGGTCCTCGACTGTTTGTCCTCGGTCTGTCCAGACTCTGCATTTGATGGCCTCTTGTGTTATCCTTAAATTACGAGCGATTCTCGATAGCAGCTTTGGTCGTACATTTTGTGAAGATTTCTTCATGTAATAATATACATCTTCGTAAATTTGTTGCTCTCTGTTGTACAAATTTAACTCCAGTGAGAAACTAGATAGATCCCGTAAGGGGAGAACTTCAGTAAACATACGATACATGGTCAGTAATATAAGTGCTGAATTATTATTTTTTCCTCTGGTTCTTTTATTCAGACCCTCAGTTACACTTTTCTGTATTCCCACGAACTCTTAAAGGACACATGACACAAAAAACATTTTGTCTGCATTCAATGTATTTATCATTCTTAAGTCAGATTCTCACACTGAATCTGTTAAACAAGCATCAGATAACAACGCACAGCTGGATAAAGTAATCTATAAACACTAGCCGAAGCAGTTCTCCGAGCAATGCCGACAGTTAATGAGATAAGCGTCACGTGGGTGTTTTATACGTCAGAGGTGAGCTTCTTGCAAATTCTCACTGTATCTTATTCAAAACAATGGAAGGAGATTCGTCAGATGGATTTTCTCTTGCACCAGAAGAAATTAGGCCCTATAATTTTGAGCCTTTATTAGACAACACTCAAGGCAGAAATGGAAGTGAATCTGAAGATTCAGAGGACAGTGATTTGGGGTTACATGATGAGGAAAATGCAGTAGGAGGAATTGCTACCCGAAGACAGAATTTAGCATGGTATGAAAACAAAACAAATATTTGCCTAGTTTTAGCTTATAATTTAGATGTGACAACATATGTTTACACTTTCATTATTAGCATTATCAATACATATATTTAATATATGAAGAATAAATATAATAGTTTGATTTATTCATATTATAAGGTGTGTCTGTCAAAGATGCCAAGTAATGGAAACTGATGAAGAATGTTTATGCTGTCATGAAATTGCACCCATTTTAGAAAAAATAGAAGCTAAACATTTAAAGTGCATCACGGAACATGATGGGTTTCAGGGAAATTGTCTAAATATTGATGTCCTGGAAGTCTCCATGTATGAGTTTATAGACATGGATGGGCCCCTTGATGACAACGAACCAATTCACCAGTAAGATAATCTACACAGACAACTTTTTATATTTAAGCATATTAAAGCTGTTTTTCCTTCAAATGAATTTATATATAAAACTAGCATTTTCTTCATGGTTCATTTTATATTACAGATTATACAGATACTTAGCATACAGGCGATTTACTCGTTGGATCTGGCATATCCTTGGAAGAAGGAGACGAAAAATTATCCCAGCTTGTGTGGTATCCAAAATCAGACAGACATTTCCATCAGAGTCTTATGCCGGTTTCAAATATCCACGTTTATGAAGTGATATAAATTCTATATTGAATTAATCTTGTATTAAATACAACACATTTAAAATTCATTCCATCAAAATTTATCTATTATATCTAGATGTCCTCCTGTTAATCAGTTCATTTTTGTCAAAGTCTTCATAATTATGCGTCAGTGGACGTGGTTCATCTGCTTTATGGCCAAACACAAAATCATCGTAGGCAAATTTTAAGGAAGGATAGTGCCGTCTTCTAACAAAAATCTTTTCCAGCAATTTTCCAACATATTCTGTGCAATCAAGAGAAAATAAGAATGACGATCTTGGAAGGAAATCAAATAAGAGATTTTGGATGATTACATTATATATTCAGTGCATATATTAAGATTATGTTAAGATTATACTAGCTTTTGTTAGTCATTTCTGTTACCTACCAAAGGTTGCAGACACTCTTCGAGGTTTTACTACACATTCCTGTCCTTTCTTTGCCTTTGGGTATGATACACTCCACTGTAGTTCACCCTCTCTTGTTAATGACTGACGTCTTGTTCCATTTTCATTGTAATGAAATGCAGCAATACACAACCTGTTGAAAATGAATAATAAATAAATGTTCTAAGGATTTTTTTATTTATATTAAGAAGTATACAGAAATTAAAAAAAGAAAAAAAAAGAAATGCTACAAACCTTGCATGCATTGGCATGTAAAAGAAGTGCGTACTCTTTGGTGCAAAATGGTTCACCACAGAGTGAAAAACTTCAAGCCCATATGTCTGGTAAACAGGTGAGAATTTTGGAAGATCTCGAAGAAGATAGGGACTCTCCATGACATCTTTAACCATCTTGTGGCATCTAGAGCCTAGAATGAAAAAAAAACTGTTAACATTCGTGAGATGCTATAAAATCAAACAAAAATAAGTTTTTAGTTGGATAATGACCTTGCTGCATCCAGTCTCTAGGTTCATCTAACTGGCCATGTTCACATCTTGGAAAGACCTCAGAATCATGTTCATGGACATTGATAAGATGGTTGCATAAGGATTTCCATTTGTCAGTCTTCATTTGCCCATTGTTTCCACTTGATGCTGCAACCCAGTATGTGTGGTTGACGATACTTTTAATCCAAGGACGGATTTGGCCAGCACCACGCTTTTTTGCAGCTGTCTCTAGTTTTCTTGATATTCCTTAAATATTTGCCATTAAGTGATTTACTACAGGCTAAAGTTATCACATTTTTTATCATTGAAACAATAATAAAAATCTAAATTACCCTTTGCTACGTGCCACACATCAAAATAGTGATTGATATTGGGTTTTTCAGTCTTCATGTATGACTTTATCATTACATGGCGATCTGTCACAAGATCATGCACCTGGACACGATTTAATTCCGTTAGGTGCCTTAGTCCACGTTTAAGGCCTTCTAACTCCATATGGGTAGATCCTCTCACCTCGTTACTCTGAAAATAGACAAAGGAAGTTCAAATAAAAAACTACAAAAAATAGCTTTTGTAAATGGAATTTCAATTTCCTTATCTTATTCTACCTGGACCAACTGTACATCAATGGTTTTATTAGTTTCAAGGTCCATCAGTGAGTAACTACAGTATTTTGCACTGTAACCAGGTGAATCACATCTTCCATCACCTCCAAGAACGACATGAGGTTTCTCTGTTGAAAAAGTACATACATGTATAGTGTTATACATATAGTTATTACATATATGTGAAATGAAATAAAAGCTCTATTAGTTACATGTATTTATGTATTTATTACTTACGGCGCAAATCATCAAAATATTCTGCTCGCTGTAAATAGAATTCTTCTATGACAGCAGGAATACTATAACAGGACTGAAGACGGGAAATAGTGCGGGAACTTGGGACTAAAACTTTCAAATGGTTGAAAAGCATTAAAACTTTTGATATGCTGTTCCCACTTAAAAGCATTGCACTTGCAAGATGTAAAGTAAACCATGGCATTTTCTTATGTGTTGACTGTGACTGCCATCTGTTGATGTGACCATTTTCACATGTAGAAACTGTAGATATCATGGAACCTTTGCTGTATTCTACAAGTGGGACACTTTTCCCATTACAAACATTACAGACAGATAAAAGTTGAGAGAGTGCACTTTCTGACACAACATAATATTTCTCTTCTGATGGATTATCTGTTTCATCTAATCTGTAATTACAAGTCTCCTCTTCATCTGATTCCTCATCTAATTCTGAATCTTCAAAATCGCTTGCATTGAAATCAGAGTCTACATCTCTGTTATCATAATCTTCATCAGAACTTAATTCATCATGTTCATTAGTCTCCATATACTCATCAATGTTGATGTTGTCTTCTTGACTATTTGTATTTTCTTCTAGTGCAGTAGGCTGTCTGCACTTAATGCAGTACTGAAATTCACTGCACTGAATTTCGAATTCAGCATCGACTGTCTTGAAACCTATTTTTGATTTTCCTGTTTGTATTCTTCTTGTTTTTGTTTTGACTTTAATGTCAGGAATAAACACCTGGATGGCTTTGTCAACTGATAATGTCTCACATTCTGCAGAAACATTACTCAAAGATGAAGGGGTTACTGGTTGAGTTTCAGAAACATCTGCATCTACTTTTACATTCTCTTCTGCATTATTATCATCACTGTCATCACTTTCTATCATAGCCTCTTTTAATACCTGTTTTTTTTTAAAATTTACAAAGTCATTGATGAATAAAAAATACTTAATGTAGAATATACATAAAAATCATGTTATAAACTTAAACTTTGGCATAAACATTTGTAGACCGAGGATGACCCCCCCCCCCCCCCCCCCCAGGCTCTGCTAATTTGTATAAAATTTTAAACAATTTAGGTCAATATAAAGAAATCAACAAAATTGTGTACATGTGTAATGAATGAACATCATGGCATTTTTAACCATTTATTTATGTAAATATAATGTCACATAAATAATTATATACATTTATAATGTAATAAATATGCCATAACATAGATTATAAATATATGAAATCTTTCTATTCTTTTGTCACAGTTCTCTCTGGCCTTTCCCTCTCCTTTTTAAAACTTAAATCCCAACGCATAATTAGATTAATAAAAGGGCCTACTTGCAACATATATAAGTTATAATAATATTTTTTTTTTAAAAATTAAGTAATAAGTATTTTCTTTTTACCTCAAGTCTTTGTCGCTTTCTAAATGCACCAAATCCCGATGGTTTTCTCTCAGTGCTTGATGAAGTTGAACATTCGTCTTGGGTAGGCCACTCAACATCGGGTACAGCATCATCTTTTAACTGAGCACGAGCATTTGGATAACCTAATTCAGCTAACCGGGGTGGATAACAAGAATATTGATCTGGCGTAAAGTGTTTCTCACATATTTTACTGTATTTTGTTAATTTAAGGTCTCTTCTACGACAGTAATGTACCCATGCCTTTTGAAGACCTGCATCTTTTGGGAAGCGAAAAAATGATACATTTTTGTCCACTTTTGAGGAGCTTGAACAATTATAAACAGCACATTACGGCATCCTTACAGACTATGAATAACTCTTTAGACACAAAGAAATATAATTGTACAAGTTCTTTATTTATGACTTAGCCTTTAACCCATTACTGGCAATTAAGGAAACTATTTGTCTTTGATCAATGATAAGAAAGATTTATAGTATCTCTTTGGTTGAAACATTTAGCATCTCTGTGCTGAAGCTGATCTCTGACGTCACCCCGACTGTTTCCGAACTCTGGGCTTTAAAATATGCATATTGAGGTCAAGCCGCTTATCAGCACTGTGTTACAGCACTAGCTGTGAAACAGATGCTTGTTTAACAGCTTCAGTGTTAGAATCTGACTAAAGGATGATTAAGACATTGAATGCAGACAAAATATTTTTTGTGTCATGTGTCCTTTAAAGGAAGAGATTCTAAATTGATAGGAAAAACGTCTTTTGTATCTCGTAAGTCGACGTAACGTGTTCTCGGATAGATAACCATAACAATAACCATTTTCGCCCTTTCCATTGCTTAAGTTGATGACCACATTTGATTACCTCCCTTCACCTATGGGGAGTCAATCTCTTTCTATACAAAATACATGTCTTACAATGATGTTTATTGTATTCATCCATCTCATTTATTGAATAATTTTCCGTATTCTCACGATCACCTAAAGGAAGATTTTCTTTAATTAATTGGAGTCTTTTATATCTTACAGTTGCTTAATATATCGTTGGAACATTTACCGTGACAATAAGTGGATCGTCATTTTGTCTAGAATTGTTAAACCTATTTAATTACCTGTCATATGTGAGCTAACTGTATTCGTCATATAAGGATCATTCATACTCATTAACTTGACTACCCCACATCTAATGATCGTACACTGCTGTTTCGTATATGACCTTTATCAAAAATCTATGACAATAACTTCTTCTTACCTTATATTTATTTCTTAAATCTTTTTACCTACCAGATGTGAAATTCATTTTCTTTTTTTTCTTTTGCAAATACACAGATTGTAGAAGGATGATCATCAATTTTCTTTATTAAAATAATGCATTTATTTCTAATTAGACGCATAAATATTAAATGATGCATTTTTATTCAGACGCTACTATTTCTTATATACCAATAGCTGAATCGTGTTTATACATGAAACGTCTTCTTCTTAATTGATTGCATATTAAATCCTAGTCATTTTCGACTAGAAACAATCTCAAGTGAGAGTAAAATAAGGTGATTCTGACAGAGGTGAAATTGTTTTCTTAAATACCATTACATTAAAACCACTCTAACTATAAGGTTGTTAATTATACCGTGAACATAAGTACCCTACCTCTTAACCATTGAACCCTGCCGTGTTCTTACCAAAATCGATAACGTTTGTTAATCCACGTTTAATGACTGTATATTCTCTCCAAAATTGGGCGTGAAATCGTTTTCTTATATATTCTTACCAGAAACCGGGTGTATAATCGTTTTCTTATATATCCTTACCAGAAACCGGGTGTATAATCGTTTTCTTATATGTTCTTACCAAAAACCGGGCGTATAGCCGAAACCGGGCGTATAAACCGGGCGCGAAAAACACACATATTTACTACTCATTTGCAAACGTAAATAATATACGACTCGCGATCACGACAGAGTCCATTGTTCCCAAAGATATTCTCTCTCGCTAGTCTAATCATTACAAAGTTGCGTCCTTCTCTTCCGTTGACCAAATTGTCTTCATAAATGAGAACTTTTAAGCATTTGTAATTATTGTTGTTTTAATTGATCATGTTATTTGTGTTTGTTTGATAAATAAATTAAGTACCAAAAAATCGTTCTCGTTGGGCTCGATGTTTATGTACATGCATTATAACATGTTATAAACGAAAGAAAACATCGATGTGGTAAACAGGTCTCAAAGTTTACATGTATAAACACTTTTTCCGAGTACCTGGGTACTCGATCGGAAAATCATCCGAGTAACCGATTATCAAATATTGACCGATTTGACATCCCTAGTAATAAGTAAAAAAGTTCATTGTGTATACACGGTTTGTATGCTTGGAAAAAAACCCCAGGAACTATTTTCGCGTATTGTATTTATATTTCCTTGTAATAAATTGTTTGCATTAACTCTTACATAACGAGAATTGATCGGAAATGCTTATTTAAAGCTGCATTGTGAAATTCTAAAGCTACTTTAGTCGTTAATTGAACGACCTAAAATGATTACCATTACATTAATCGGAACTATGTTTCTCTTTTTGTGTGTCTTTGTTAATGAAATTAGATGTTATATTGCAGCACCAAATGCCAGAATTTGCTTCGATAAGTAAGTCTATGCAATGGATTTTTTTTTTCATTCTTTCATTTCTAACATAATAAATCGCCCAAATGTATACCCCTGTTGAGTTAGAAAAAAAACGAAGAAAATGTACAAAGTTCAAGATCTCAAACTTTATCAACTGAGTAAAAAAACAAAGAAAATGTACGAAGTTCAAGATCTGAAACTTTAGCAATGACTAAATCAAGCAAGATCGATGTAAGATGTATCAGAAAGGTCTTTTAAAACTAATCCCCAACCTTTAAAGAAACACAGTAATTGAACATTAATCGCCACTTCCTAAATTTGCAGGCGAAATTACTCTAGAAAATAGTGACCTTTGGTCTCGTTTGATATGCTCAAGTCTGTTTAAGATAGGAAGTGTTTTGAAGTATGTATTGAAAGTGCATTTGTTTTAAAAATGAATATCTTTAATTTATGTTTTAGTGTCTCTTGATCTTGAAATCATATGCGAATATGTTACAGGCCCGTAGGAAGCAATTTCAGTTTGGGGGGGGGGGGGAGCACAGCCATACATTTTCAGTTGAGGGGGCACTATCAACTACCAAAAATTCCTTGACAAGCAAAAAAAAAAAAGGTCATCAGGCATTTTCATTGAGGGGGCACAAGCATATAGTATCTATTTTTTCTATAGTACTCTATATGTCGGCAAAATTATTGGGGGAGCCCCCCCCCCCCCCCCCCGGTTCCTACGGCCATGTGTTAATTAAGACAGCACATAAATCTTCTAACTTGGCGAAAGCCTACAGTGTGCGGATGAATATGATGATATCCAAGGTCACCCCAGGGCTTCGAACTATGATTACTAAATTCTTAACAAAGTGCTTTTTTTGCTTAATCGGTAATCTTGTATATGCCTAGTCCCATTTGAAAGAGGTGTATTGGTTTTTTTTCCTGGTCGAGACAAATATTTTTTTTCATGAAATATTTGAAAAAAAAATCTACACAATAAATATGAATATCTTTTATGTCGATTAGCCTGCATAAGTGCTGCTCTGGAACTACTTGAAATCCACCCTTTAATGAATGCACCGGTTAGTATAAATGAAACCTTGCAATTAAATTTCAGATGCATTATTTTTCTATCTTTAATTTTAATGCCAGTTACATTGCACAACAGATTAATGATATGATATATTTAAATTTTTATAGCTTGTGAAATGGGTATATAGGGTCCTTTTGCAACGAGTCTTGTGTCCTTTCTGACATATTTCATTTTGTCAAATAAGGGGGAAATTAGTCATGTTGCAGATTTTATTTGACAAAATGAAATATGTCAGAAAGGACAGTTATGATTAAAGATAAAATTTCACTTTGAATTTTAGTCAATTAATATTTCAATTTGGGTTAAGATTAATGTATGTGGATATTTTAACATAACATTTTGGGCAGAAAGGACAGTTATGATTAAAGATAAAATTTCACTTTGAATTTTAGTTAATTAATATTTCAATTTGGGTTAAGATTAATGTATGTGGATATTTTAACATAACATTTTGGGTATTCT